AGCACTCAGACAGGCATGCAAACCAACAGGCACGCACACACACACAACCGGCAAGCACTCAGACATGCATGCAAACCAGCAGGCACGCATACACCCAGACTTGGGACCACAACAGAATGCGGGAATCACAGCAAGGCATTCATTCCAGTGACAAATCCCAGAAATCAGCAGTGTTCTCAGTCTGTGCTTTTGGCGGGTCATTACATTACTCCCCTCTCGAGAGGGAGGTCCCTTCGAGCGAGTAACTCAGTCAGAGTCGGTACATAACGCATCGTAGTAGTACATCAGAAAAAGAGACTTGGTCAATCCATGAGGAGTCATTGTTGCTACGAACTTAGCGATCTGTCTCTCGGTGATTTGTCTTTCGTAAGCGTTCACAACACGTGGAGCACTTTTTAGCAACTCTTTCCGGTCGATCCAGAAGAATTCAGTCAACGGGTGATAGAGGAAGTGAACCTTATACTGTGTGTTCCTCCCTCTGCCCTCGTGAGATACGATTCTGTCTATCTCATGGCCGCCGTCGATAGGGCGAGGTATCATCGGGTCCCGGAAAGGAAAGGTCTCATCATCAATGTGTGGGAATAGTTTGGATGCATGAAAGACCAGATACGTGCGTAGATGAGGAGGCACGTCAATCACAAATGAAGGGCCAAAGTCATCCCCGACTACCTTCAGAATCTGCCAGGGGCCGTAGTACGGTGGAAGAAGCTTTCGTGAGATGCCCTCTTCATCAGAAAACTCAGACATTTTGACCCAAACATAATCCCCTACTTTGAATTTTTCTTCTTTGCGCAGCTTATTGGCATGTTTGATCATGGCATGTTGGCGCTTGTTCATAGCTGCTGTAGCAGCTTTGAGCAAGCCTGCGTACTTGGCATTGTAGCCAGCCATGTCGGGCATCATACCAGGTGACCGTTCGGGGAACAGATAGGAGAGGGGATTACGCATCGGCCACCCATACTGCAATTGGTTTGGTGTCACACCAGTCGCAGAGTGAATGGAGTTGTTGTACAGCCCCTTCACTTTGTGCAGTTCCTTGTCCCACGTGTTCTGATCTGGAACAATCAGTGCGCGAAGCAATTGCATGACAGTCTGGTTGATCTCCTCAGCCAATCCGTTGGCTTCGGGGTGTCGACCAGAAGTCTTGTTCAGTTTGATGTCGTAGATATGAGATGTGAAGTCTTTCCAATCTTTGCTCACAATAGTTTTCGGGACGCCGGACTGCGGAATGTACTGTTGATGGAATTCTTCTATGACAAGTTCAGTCGGGGCGTGAGGAGGGAGAGGAATCAAGTTCATAAATTTGGAGAAGTGGTCCACAGTGACCATGACTTGTGAATTCCCAGCCTCACTCACCTTTCCCATGTCCGTGAAGTCGATGGAAATCGATTCACCAGGTCCATCAGGAATGGGGAGAGGTCTCAGTAGGCCATAAGGCTTATGCCTGTGGACCTTGATTCTTTGGCATACTTGACATTCAGCAATGAATTTCTAAGCAGATCCTTTCATTCCCGGCCAATCAAATTGCTGCAGAAGACTTCCATAAGTCTTCTCAAAGCCAAAATGTCCACTCCGACCATGTGCCAAATCCAAGAAATGAGTTCGGAGAGGCGCATGGTTGGGTACACACAGACGGTCAAACTTCCCATACCGGCGGAATACAAGACCCTCGCATTCATGAAAATCAGGCTAACTGTTAGGGTCAGCCTTGAGCTGCTCAAGGATGGGACTGAGGTCCGGATCCTTGGCGGTGTGTTCAACCAGATCCTTCTTCAGTTTCCTTCGGAGGTCATATGAACCCACAAGGCAAGTCAAGAATTCAGGATAGCGGGACAACGCATCAGCAACCCGGTTATAACAACCTTTCTTATGTTTCAACTCAAAGCTGTAGACATCAATGTCATGCAACCAGCGGGTCAATGTAGGAGAGAGTTCCGATTGTGTCTGAATCCATTGCAAGGTCTGATGATCAGAGTAGACCTTGAAGTGGCGACCCAAGAGGTAGTGTTTCCAATGTGCGAGGGCTTCGCGCAGGGCGTAAAGCTCACGCATATATGTGGAAGTAGCTACCTTATGGCTGGGCATGCGTTTGTTGTAGTACTCGAGCGGACGCAAGCCATCACCATCATCTTGCTGCAGCACAGCACCAATCCCGAACTGACTCGCATCCGTAGTGGCTACAAAAGTGAGGTTGGGATCGACAATGCGAAGCACAGGATGACTCACCAATGCCTCTTTCAAGGCTTGGAACGCAGTCTCACACTTCTCACACCATGCATAGGCAACATTCTTGCTGGTTAGTCTTGAGAGAGGGTGAGCAATGACAGAGAATTTGGGCACAAACTTCCGGTAATATGAGGCCAGACCAAGGAAAGAACGCAGTTCGCGTACGTTTGCCGGTTGAGGCCAATTTCAGATGACCTCAACCTTGGTTGCCTCCGGCTCAAGGCTGTTTGCAGACAACCGATGCCCAAGATAGATGACGCTGTCCCTCCCAAACTCAGATTTCTCCAAGTTGAGGTGCAGCTGGAGGACCTGCAAAACTTCCTCAAGGTGCTTGAGGTGCTCCTCCATGGTTTTGTTGAAGATCAAGATATCATCAAGGTACACAACCACAAACCTGTTGAGTTGATGGCGAAGTACCTTGTCCATGAGGCACTGAAAGGTGGCCGGTGCATTCGTAAGACCGAAGGGCATAACGATGAACTCGTACAGCCCATCGCGTGTCTTGAACGCATTCTTGTGCTGGTCACTCGGATCAACTTCAATCTGGTGGTAACCAGATTTGAGGTCGATCTTGGAGAAGACCTTGCATCCACCTGCTGCATCTAGCAGATCATCTATGCGAGGCAAAGGGTAAGCATTCTTTCTTGTGATCCGATTGAGGCCATGATAGTCAATACACATCCGGAGTTTGCCTCCTTTCTTTGGCACAAACAGGACAGGTGCACCAAATTCAGACTCACTGGGCCTAATCCATCCACGGTCAATCATATCATCAATTTGCCGTCTCAACTCCAACTCGCCTTGTCCCATATGGTAGACGCAGCCCTTTGGAGGAACACTTTCCTCTATTATCTCGATTTTGTGTTTGACCGGACGCTCGGAAACTCCACGAGGTTCGGCCAAAACTTCAGGGAATCGATCCAATAGTTGGCGAATGTTTGTTGGGACTTCCGGTGAAGGATCATCCTCATCAGGAAAAAGAAAATTAGACTGAGAATTTACAGCAATTACAACCGGATTAGAAGTAGAAGGATTATTCACAATAGAAATAGATGGATTAGAAGTAGAGTTACTTACCGAGGTAGAGAATGCAGCAAAAGTAGAAGGCACATGGAGTGGTTTTACAAGGGCCATATGTACAAACTCAGCTTCCTTGCGCCTGCGTACTGACCTGCAGAATTTGTTAGCACTTAGAAGAGTCACAAGGAACTCGCGCGTCTCATCTAATAAGACGGTATGCTTGTTCCCCTTGGCATAAAGTACCACGAACAGATTGTCCGCCCACGTGGTCCTTAGGCAATGAGCCTTTAGCCAGCCCAAGCCAATGTCCGCGTCGAAAGGACACTTATCCAGGACATAGAAATTCAGCTCATGTGTAACAGTGCGGTCTTTGTCAAAGGTGATGCACACACCTTTGACAGCATGAGTGGAAGTGACAACGTCTTGGTTGCCCACCTGAGTCCGGCAAGGGTTCTGCAGTTCCACTGGCTTCATACCTAGGCCCGCCTTACGAATCTCGTTTGGAGAGAAGAAATTAGTGGTCGAACCACTGTCAATCAGCACACGGATGTATCGGCGGTTAACGAGTAGTTTAAAGAAAGTTAGCTCCACGCTCCCCTGAACACGGCATTGCTGCTTGAGCTGCAGCCAATGCTCCATGTGGGCGTGGAGGTCAACTTCTCTAGACTCCTCCCAAGGCTCAGTGTATAATACTTGGACTGCACCAGCCTTGGAATCAGCATCAGTTCGGGCTTCAAGAGCAAGCTGCTGGCCAGATCCAGGCTCCTCGGAAGGGCCTGCAATTGACTGCTCAGCTTCCCTTGCTGTAGAGAGTGTTGATGACTCTTCTACGCCCCTTGCCTGTTTCCCTGAAGACGATAGCAATCCTGCACAGCATGCCCAGGCTTTTGACAATGCAAGCATACGCGCAATTTGGATCTTCTTTCCCATTCCTTTTGAGTGATGCGGAGAGCTTCCCAAGGCTTGGTAGAAGCGTCCTCCAGTTTCTCAGGGATCTTAGCATTTTTGGGAAGGTGTAAGACAGTTCCCTTACCTGAACCACGGTTAGGCCCCTTATTCGAAGCAGTCTTTCTGAACGCATTAAGTTTCTCATCATCATTTCTGTCACACTCAATGGCTGATGCGGAACAGCCCGTATCGGAGTCCGGCTCTAGATCGTCATCTAGAGACAGATCATCCGCATAGGACTGATCGTCATCCTCCCGATGATCATGCAGTGCAAGCTGGTTGCTGCTTCCAAACTGCTTGCGTTGTGGTTTCCCACCTGCAGCGGGCGCCTTCTTGCGCCTGGCGAGGTCCTTGGTCTCTAGGTTGACTAGGTCCTTCATGAGCTCTCGCCAGGTGGCATGGTCCTTGAGTGCTAGTAGGTATTCTTTAGGGGCCACTTCCATGACTACATCCATACAAGATACGTCAGTCATTCCCAGATCCGGAGTGGTGAACAGACCAATCAAGTGTTGTTCCGAAGCCTGCATGGATGACCTCCATGTTTGGCCCTTGAGGGCCTCAAGCTTCAGCCTAGCCTTGAGCGCAACATGTTTATCTCAGTACCGATCAAGGAGAAGATCCTCAAGGGCGCGGACAGGGGTGACCTTCAGCCAATCAGTCAGGTCTATGCGTTCATAGCCTGCTGCGACAGCTTGGAGCTCAATGTGGTTTCGTACGGCGGGCTCAATATTAGTCCCCATGATCATACTTCGGTCCTCTTGCGGTGTCCGCATGACCTCGAAGTACGACCTCATGGAACTAATCCAAGAGGTGATGTATGCCTTCCCGTCGTACTTGGACGGCAGCGTGGCCGCCCGCTTGTCCACCATGGGACCGCTGTACTGAACGCCAGTAGGAACTGCGGCGTTTGGGGCTGATGTCCCTGCATTCGGGACCATGACCAGCGCAAAACTGTCGGTGCTGCTGCTCGAGGAGCCGGCACCGGTTCCTGCGCTTGCCACGGTTCCGCTTGCCCTTGGCACGAGGGCTGTGTTGGCTTGAGAGGTTGGGATTATAGCAGATCGAGGGTTAGGAGGGCGGGAGGCAGACAACTGGGACTGTTCGAGGCTAATTACCTTAGCCTGCAGCTCTTCGTTCCGCTGCTCAAGTGCTGTTATACGAGACTCAAGGTTTTCCAAGGTCCGCAGTCGGACCAAGGCTGCTACAGCAGCAGCTAGTTCCTCCTGGAACCGGTCAGCATCGGCTTCCGGGATCCGAAGGAGAGCCACCTGATCAGCAATGTCTGCGGCTCTAGCTGCTGCCGCTGCCTCCCTTTCCCTCTGCACGGCATCATCATACAGTTTTTGAAAGAATGGTTTCTGACTCTCGTCTTCTGTGTCCGGCATGGCCTGCCATTGGTCAGATGTGATGACGGCCATGCTGGAGGAAGGGGTGTCAGTAGAACTCTCAAGAGGGGTCCGCTCTTTCTTTACGTTTCGACGAACACTCCTCTTGCCCCTTCTCACACTCTCAAACAGCACACCTTCTCTCTCCCTTTCCTCTCTTTTCGCTGTCTGCGCACGCGTCTCGATACTGGACATAGATAGTTCAGATAAAAGAAACAAACAGAAAACCACTCCGAGAAGAAGGTAGAACTCCTAGCCGGAGCGGCGAATCATTTGGACTCAGCGCGTGGCACGCAGCAGAAGAATAAATAAAATAAATAAATAAAAATAAATAAAACAGCAGAGAGGTCTGATTTATAGAACGGGCCCGATCAGATCAGTTGGAGATCCCCTCTTGTCTAACCTGACAGGGGACATGCATCACAATAAATCAGACGAAGAAGACTAATTTGCAGCAATGGAGATTTCGAGGGGTGCAGATGGTMGCCGAGTCAGACGCGGGGCAGTATGTGCTAACATGCGGTAAGGCCAGTCAAGATCCCCTTGAAAGGAATGCCCTTGCTGTCCGTATGTCCCCCAATTCCAGCACARCAAAGAAATGCACTGGCGGCAACAGTCCTGGGCCCAAAAGGTCCTGTCCCATTGGGCCTGGTCCCACTGGGTCCCAAGGGTCCCAAGTAGGCCGTGGACCAGGACCAACGTGATAGGGGTGCCAAGTCGGTCCCAAACTGCCTCTACCGTACTGAAAAGGAAAAGACAACTTTAAGCAAGAACTCACTTCTACAGCCGTTCAGAAATGAAAAGACAATGCACCGTAGAAAGATATGTCATTTAGAGTAGATACATCATCCATCCATCCATCAGGTGTGAAAGCAATCCACAAGCTCACACACACAACCGAGACCGCAGAGAAGCGGAAGAGAACCCAGCACACCCACAACAGGCCATGAAGCACCAAGCAACCTCCCACGGGCTTTCCCAGGTCACACGACACTTACCTGTGAGGCCCGGCCTCCAAAGATGGATTACGAGTCACTCCCCTTTCATATAAGTCCTCCTGACCGCTAGCTACCACTACACGAAGTGTCCTAGCATGACTAAGAGGGCCTTCCTACACCCCTGTTGCAAAGCCGGATCCCCCGTCGATGCCTGAAGACCAAAGTAGCAACTTGCAGCAATCCGATGTAGATATGGCAGCCTCCGATCAAGTCTCCCTCTTGAGGGGAAGCCCAAAAGTCACTCAATGTCTTCCTGAAGTCCAGATTCCAGGTGCGAGTACCTCTCACTCTCTACTCCCTCTCGCTTACTCCAAACAGCCTCCTTTGTGTCTCGCCACCCCATACATTCACTCAAGCAACCTGGTTGGGTCCAATGTCGACCCTACATGACCTAACCAGGTGGGGGCATCATCCCAATACCTCGCTCCCCCACTTAACCCTAACTTCCCAACCCTAATCCGAGATTAGGTTAGCCCTAACCTAATTCAGAATTAGGGTTAGGGTGACTAACACCTCTCGCCAGCAAGTAAGTCCGCTCCGATACCAATTGTTACGATCCTGGTCATTTCCCAAGTACAAATTCACAATGAAAGACAATGCCACCCAATTGCGAAAGAAATGAAAGCACTTGCAAGAGATAAAGACCAGAGGAGAGG